TTTTTTGTTTTCTTGTTTTTTGAATGTCCAGAGGACCAGATTGAACTTTTTTGGACACGCATATATTATTTCCTTTTTTGAAAGCGTGATGCAGGCTCCATGTCTTTCAGGAACAGAGTGAATTATTGAGTCATACCTGTAACCAAACATCAGCTAAACCTGAGCTTAACTTGACCCCCATAGAAAGGCAGCATGTGATAATTGTTTACAAGAACCTGTTGAAGGGGTGCATCCTTTGGTCCAACAGGTGAAGAAACGAGGCTCGTGTTTGTGCCATTCTCTCTCTCTCTTTAACAAAACTGTCCAAAACAAATAAAATAAACACAACTTATATTTTACATTTTATTTCCACTCAGGCGAGTTTTTGAATTGTCCATGTTTTGGGCTTACTGTAGTATAAAAAACCCATACTCACCAAATGATGAAGACTTCTACTGCTGTCTTTAAGCTCTTGAAACCAACACCTGCCAACAACAAGAACAGCTCACACTGTTTTTTTTTCTTTTTCAGAATGTGGTTCAGCCCCTAAATTGCATAATTGTCTTTACTTGTATTTCTAGATCTGCAGAATCACAAAAAAACCAAACTTGTGCATGTGTATGTAACAGGTGACAAAATCTCACCCTGGTTGTGTAACCATTGTTTTCTAATAACTATCCCTCATTCATTCCTTGACTACATGTTGCCCTCTGCCTCTCGTGCAACTGTTTCTGTGAAGAAGGAATGTGATGTGTTGGGGAGTTGTCATTTGTTGCTGTTTTAAGTGCTATATAAATAAATTGGTATGGTATGGTATGAGACTTCCTGCTCGTGACATGTTCCAGAACGCGCCTGGTTCCTAAAAATGACTAAAATAAATTAATAGAGACTCTAATCTTGACAGATGGGACTTTTGTGTGAATTTCTTTACATACAGTGTATAAACCTTTGTATGACCATTAATATTCCTTTGGGGGGAAATCATCCACACTTTCGTTATACTTTATTTTTTATTATTATTTTCTCAGCATTTCTTCATTTATTGCTGGTTCATTCATCAGGGGCCAACCAGGTCCCTCAGGTTTAATATCTGCACTCGGCTGGTGTTCACCCGATACTCATCCAAGTACGTGAGCACAGTCTTTTGCATTTCTTTGGCGTTGACTCTATGGGAGTTTGTCTAGCTGCTCTTGAAATCCTTTCTTCTGTTCCTAAAGCTCCAGTTGAGATTGGTATAACTTGATTATTGTGTTCCACATGCGTTGGACTTGTACCTCCAGGTCCTTTGTTATTTTCTCTGCTTCTTTCTTTAGGAGGGTTTTGTCATTCGGGATAGTCACATCAAGCAAGTAACACATTTTGTTGTTCTTGTCATGGAGCATAATGTCTGGCTGGTTTGCAGAGATGGAACGATCAGTAGGGATGGCCATGACCCACATGATGACATAAGCTCCATTGTCAATCAGACCTGTGCTCATACCACTTGTCAGTTGTACCTACACCCATCCTCTGGCACGACGCCCAGTGCAGGTACGTCCCAACCTTGTTGTGTCTTTCCAGGTACTCTTTTTGGGGCCAATATTTTGCAACAGAAACTTTATGGACTCCTCTGCTTCCCCACACACACGTCCTGTGCTGCTGACCTGCATACCCATCATGTTCTTTTGGTGTTTAAGGCTTGGTCCTGTGCTGCTGCAATTAAACTTTCAGTTTCTCCTTTGAGTCCTGCTCTCGACTGCCATGAGTATCATTATATTATTATTGTTTTACTATTTTCTTCAACAATAAACCAATCTTTTAGAGTTATCTCAGCCTGAAATAAAAAATATCAAATCGAAAGGATTTTTAAAAAAATCATTTTTTTAATCCGTTTTTTTTATTTTATTTTTTAGATGAACATCAAGACATGAAGATTTTTTTGAGAGTTTTTTTATTTTTTTATTCCAGTACCAGAGTTTTGTGACAACCCTCCAGCCCACTGGACCTTCAAATCCATTAGCTGAAAATAAGGCCTTGTTCTCTGTCAAACTTACTCTCGTCCCAGTTGTAGTGTTCTATTGATTTTATATATGAATGTTTCTGTTCAGTTCCCTGAGATGACTTCTGTTGTGACTTGGTGCTTTATAAATAAACTGAATTGAATTAAAATTCTGATGAACCAGATTCTACAAAAACATCTGTATTTAAAATTCTATAGTTTTCTTGATAATTTGATGTATTTGCACTCATTGTGTCTACTTTTATTGTTCAGTTGAGATGTGTGGTTTTGTTTCTTGTATACAGATTTTATTTTAGCTTTGATAAAGTGTAATTCTTGTTTTGTGATTTGTACATCTGTGGGTTAGAATAAAGTTTAACTAAAAGCCGTAGCTCTTCTTTAAACATGTCGGAGGGAAATATTCCTGAGAGATCCAGTAATTTTGTCTTTTTATGATTTTTCAGCTGAGTTAACTTTATTTAACAGATTATTTAATAAAGTCAACGTGAAAACAGGATTTCATGGTAAAGCTGGCACCGTTTATTTATTTACATTATTTTTTTAATACATAAAAATGTTTTTTTTAAAGTTTCCACCCTCCGTCCCAGTCCTCCCGTCTGGCAGGGCTCGGGGTCCGGTCTCGTGTGCTTCAACGGGTCGGCAGCTCGTATGATCCTCCGCGGTGACTAACTCACTTGAACTTTGTCGTCGGTCACCAAACACACAAAACACCTGCACTTCAGCATTAAACACGGTGTTGTCATTATTCTTTTTAAAATCTTAAAAATAGATCCAGCCGCTGCTCCGAGCAATTGCAAATGGCGGATCGGTGAAAAGTTTCCTGAAAGATCCGGCGACTCCTCCCCCTGACCAATCAGTGACCGACAGTGTTCCGACGTCATGTTTTTGTGCCGGCTCGGCTCGCTTGAACCCTTGAGAATTAGAAAGGGGCCGACGCAGCTAAAAAGTACCAGTGGAAAAGCGCTCAAAACCGCAGTGAACCGAGTTTACCTGATCCACCATCACTGTGGAAAAGGGGCTGAAGTTTATCAGGACGAGTCAGATGGTCCACATCCTGACCTCAGAGGCACAGAACTAAACTCTTCCTCCCCCTCGTTGCTAATCTACTCTCTTTCCTGAGCAAGTCAGATTATCAGGCACCTCCACAATATATCAAAGGAAAGGTCTGGTACCTTCTGCAAAGCTAATCAACTTTTGGTTCCTGTGTCAGACCATCAGGCTCCTCATAATCTACATCCAACTAAGGACAGAACTCTGCCATACCCCAAGGACACAAGAAGTGTTAGGTTATATGACAACGCTCTGGTTACAGCATGGTATAGTAATTCATAAGGCCCCTGGAGAATAATGGTCTTAAAAACAGTATTGTGTGATCTCCACACCAGCCATGGCGACGCTGCCAGTTGGACAGAGCTTCAAACAGAACCCCTGTTGTTTACCTGTATTGTGTGAAAAACTCAAATGTACATTTATGAAGAAATCGTGTTTTTAAACAAGGTATTACTGCCTGGGAGCGTGAACTAGGTACTGAGCTGTCTGAATCATGGTGGGATAAGATGATTCTCAGCACACGTTCAAGTACACCATGTGCTAGATTACAGTTTATACAGTTTAAAGTAATAAACAGAGTCCAATTTTCAAAATCTCGTTTATCTAAAATCTTTCCATCAACTTTAGACGAGCGTGACAAACGTCAGACTTCACCTTGTAATTTGAGTCGTATGATTTTTTTTTCTGTCCAAGTTTGCATAAATTCTGGAGTGATTTATTTTCTGTACTTCCAGTGGTTTTTAGAACCCAGATCCCAAGTGACCCACTCATTGCCGTTGTTTGAGTTCCAATGACAACGCTTGAAATAATCTCCCCTGCAAAATGAGGTTTTAGCTTTCTGTTCACTTCTTGCTAGACGCTGCATTTTACTCTTCTGGAAATCTCCCACACCTCCATCTACTGTATATTACTATGACTTAACACTGTCAGGACATTTTCGAGGGTGGAGATTTTACTAACAGTGAGGGTAGTTCAGAAAAATGTACTCGCAAGTGGACACCCTTTGTGGAGTACCTCAAATCTTTACCTCCTTAGTGTGTAGAATTGTGTAATTTACCCACCATGTGACAAAGTTATAAAAACTGTATTATTTATTTTTTAGACCCCACCACCATTTTTTCTTTTCTTTCTTTTTTTTTTTTTACTTTTATTCTCTTTGTTCTTGTATTTGTACAATGTTTTATATTGTGAACAACATTGTATAATCTCTTAATAAATAAATTAATTAAAAAAAAAAGATTTTTTCAGGAAGTATTGGCAAACGAAGGACACTATAGCTGAGACTTATGAAACAAACTGAAAAATAAATCCAACGTTGTCTAAAAAATGAATTCCAGCTATGATGATTTATCATTTTAACACAACAATAAATCAGTCTTGGTCCCTTTTAATTAGGTCTTTTCTGAAAAAGAAAAAAAAAGTTAAATGAATAAATTGTCGTTAATGAAAATTAGATATTTTCCTAATTTAAAAATTAAATTAACATAAAATTTGTGTTTGCATAAAAGTTCTTTCATCACAGTCACTGTTTAAAAAAAAAAAAACGAGAAAAGAACATTGAAAAGTACAATTCAGGCGGTGGATACTAAAGGCCTAAGCATCCCTAGGAGTTTTTTCTTTTATCAGTCAACACAAAACTGATGGAAGCTGGAACGTGTGTAAATCTTTATTGCAACATTATTTTGCCCTCTGTCTTTATGAGCAGTACAAGGAGACTGGGTGTAGACTGGTGGTCATGGCCGAAGACTTAAAATGCAGAGGCTGCTGTTCAAGCCCAGGATGTGCAAGAAATCACAACCGCTCTAAAACAAGAGACAAATCTCTGCTGCAGGTTCACTCACTGTGGAGACCCCCCACAGAGAGAAGCAGCCAAAAGAAAAATAAGAACAAAAACTTTACAAGCCTTCCAGGGATGGTTGTTAAGACTGCGACTTTTCAATAATATTTTCTCAGAGTTCAACTCTAGGACAGTGAATACTCGTGCAATCACTAATTTTACAAATTTTGTTTCACTCTATAAAATTGTTTTTTTTTTTGTCAAAAAAGGGAAAGGAAATCTGAGATTGTCATCGTTGTATGTTCCCATACAATGATGAATTTAAATTAATTCTCTGCATTTTACCCATCACATCTGGATTCACCCAGGTGGAGCAGTGGGCAGCTATGTTAGCGCCCAGAGAGTAAAGCCTCCAAAAAGGTTAGTTCATATAGATCTATTATAAATTATAATAGCAATAAAAGTGTAAAACGTCCATGGAGTGAATACTTTTATAACAACTGATGAGGACGGTTGATATTTATATCAGCAAAACCTTTATTTTTATCCCATGTGTACAAGACAGCACAGTGGCTCAGTTGGTAGAGCTGTTGCCTCTCAGCAAGAAGGTTGCCGGGTCAAATCCTGGAACGGGATCTTTCTGGGTGGTGTTTGCATGTTGTCTCCGTACGTGTGTGGATTTAAAACATGCCCGTTAGGCTAAATGATAATTGAAAATTGTCTCTAGGTGTGAGTGAGAGAGTGAATGTTGGTTTGTCTCGTTTGTCTCTATGTGGCCCTGTGATGGACTGGAGACCCGTCCAGGGTGTACCCCGCCCCTCGCACAGTGATTGCTGGACATGGGCACCAGCGACCCCCGTGACCCAAAATGGAATAAGCAGGTAAAGAAAATGGATTGATGGGGACAGAGGTAAGAAGAAGAAAAAAACATTACTGAGAGGAAAGCAGTATTTTATGATAAGACAGTACAAGGGTTAAACATGCTGGATTGACACCAAATCACAAATTTATTAATTCCCTCTGACCTAAGTTTAATCTTGTTATATGTTCAGACTTTCTCTCTAAGGTCGTCATTCCTGGAGGCAGAGCTGGAACAAATTGTGTCCTGTTCAGAGATTAATATGACAGAGGTTCAGTCCAGAGACAACACCTTAAAGACTTCTGGGCTAAGAAACATAAACACCACTTTTCCCAAAACATTGGTTTATTGGAAGAATGAGTTTGAACCGCAGCATTTCTTGTGTTAAGGTAACCTTCCTGATAGATTAAATTAGTTTATGTAATGTTTTGTATTCAACAGTATGACTGGCCCGAAGAGGGAGTCAAAATCAAACAACAGGATATTTTTCAGTCCATCACACATTTTTCACTGAACTACTAGAATTTTAACCATTTAACAACCGGCAGACTTTGTCTTCTAAAGTAACATTTTTAAGTAGAGTTCTGTGTGGAAATCATAAACAAATAATATATTACTTGTTGTAGATGGCTAGTTGAATGACCTCAGTTTGGAAAAACGGGGGTTTAACTTTGATTGAATTGATGAGCTGATGGCTAGTCTGAGCAGAGGCCAGGACTAAAGTGAATGGAGCTGTCTTCTTAAGACAACTCATATCTAAAAAATAAACCTTTACATTATTGTCAGTTTCACATTATACAGGTTTATATAGAATTCTGTGGTTGCATGCGTAAATAGCCACAGCAGCAGCTAGCTGTAGCATCTCTGGTGCAGCTTGGAGGCACTCCTGTCAGTATTATGAAGTTCCTCCCAGAATAACCAGAAACTGAGTGATGTAAAGGTTCATGAAGGAGCATTGGCATGACTCAGTGAAAAAACTTTTAAAACTTGAGTTGTATTAAAATGGTCCCAATAAGCGACGGCTTAGGGCCTCGGGGCCACTAGGGGGCCCCCTAAGTGGAAGCACAAGTTTTAGGCAGTTTGGAAGCATTGAAGAAGAAGTAACACAAGCAGGTCTGAACTGAAAATATTAAACTTTTACTATCTTAAGTTCAGCTTTTGCAAATTGTTGCATACATTTACATAGTTTTAAAAACTAATTATTCAACTTTTATTTTTTTTTACAGTTTTATGTGGTTTCAAGTAATTGTTCATTTACATTATTTAAGTATTTTCTTGATTGTTATTTTTCATTTAATTTCGTCTGTTTTTGCACAATTTAATTTATTTTTATGCATCTAAGTTGTTTTATTTGTTGTTTGTTGATTTTGCACTACAAATAATTTTGAACATTACTGCTGCAGTTCTTTGGAACCAAAGATAATAAACCAGATGACACATTTGCTGTAAAATACATTGCGTACTGGTTTATTTTTCTTTTGTTACTTTTAGTACAACTAGATCACATGTGTCAAACTCAAGGCCCGTGGGCTAAATCCGGCTCACCATAACCATTTCTGTGGCTCTCTACACCCTAGACAGCCACAGAAACAGAACTTCAAGATAACAGTTGTGTGCTGCAATATTACTTTATCAGTCTAATCAAATCAGTTTTTATGTTTATAATGCCAAATTACTCCAAGTAGTCATCGAATGCAGAGAAAGTGATATTTTACCAGTTTGTTAATAGGCAGTTTTATTAATACATTCTGCCATGTCCGGCCTTTTGAGGACATTCATGAGCTTGATGTGTTCCAAAATGAAAATAGACACCCCTGCACTAGAAGATATATCCATAGGATCATGTAAACAGGACTGTCAGAGTTGCAATGAGTTTACGTTAGGTGGTGAATGATATGATCATCTGCCTCTTGATTGCAGTAATCCACATTATTAGCAGAAATAGAGGGGCCCATGGAGGCTTGGGCCAGCCCTGGTCAACAGCATCGGTGTCGGTTGTTAACCCGGGCTTCGACTGATTCCATATGGTGTCGCTAAGATGAACTCACATATTAGTTTGGGCAAAAATGTAAACCAGTGTTTGTAATACTGAAGGAACTGTAGCCATTTTAGCCAATTTTCTAAAACTAGGAGGATGGGCGTTGATATCCATATAACGTTTTGCTAGATATATTAAGTCATTTAGTGGTTCATGACTGCAGAGCTCAGGTGAAACAGAGTTAGATATGAACATTGTTTACACTAATAATTTTCCATCATTTCTCAATATTTGCAGGTCTTTTTAGGTCTAAATTTACAGATCTCTCTTGTAAATGATGAGTCGTCGAGGTTCATTGAGACTAACCTGATTAAATAAAGAATGAATTTGCATAAAACTACCTAGATCACAAACAGCGAACAGAATAATGACTTTGAGCATTGGGATTAAAATCTGTCAAAATCTCCATGCGATGCAGCGAAGCGATCGCTCTGTTATCGGTTAGTTCTGTCTGAATCCGTTCATCTGACATTAGTGCGCGCGCCTTCACGCGGAACAACGAGCAGACCTAACTTCTAGATCTCAGCCGTGTACAGAGACTACATTTGAAACATCTAAGCTTAAAACCTCAGTAACCTCCACGACTTCTTCTTGTGTTTCAGTTATCGCTTACCCCGGCTAGTCCCGTTAGCCGCATTCGTTAGCAGATGAGGTAGTTTCTAGCTAACACGTTCAAGCTAGCAAGCTCGGAAAACCGACGTGCGGTTTGTTTTTGGTTTGATAGCAGCTAACTAACAAAGCAGACATGCAGGACATACTGGCCAACGTAGACTACATCAAGTTTGACCTGGAGATAGCTGTGGAGCAGCAGCTGGGAGCGCAGCCTCTTCCTTTCCCCGGCATGGACAGTACGTGATGCTAGAAGCCATTAGCTGCCTTCTTTGGGGGCTAACGGGCAGGTTGATCATGCTCCTGAAAGGCCATGTTTTCTTAAAGTTAATAATTCTGTCATAATGTGTCTCCCTGCAGAGTCCGGGTCAGCTGTGTGCGAGTTCTTCACCAGGGGAACTTGTATGAAAGGTAAAATAATAATTAGACACCACATGCTTAAACGATTTTAGCTGATGTGTTGGGTTATAATATAATATCAGTTTAGCGCAGTGGGATGTGTTATCATGACTTATTGAAGGATTGATGCTTTAAGTGGTTTATTATTATTTATGTTGCGCTTTATTCCTTAAAAGTAAATGTGCCTGTGTTGAAGGCTTCAGTTTTGTAAACACTGCTGGGATTCTTCATGCTCCTATAAAAGAAATATGAATGGGCACTATTATATTGTTGGCAAGTTTAACCATTGTAAATATAAGTTGATGTTTACTCCTTGCCAATATTAATAGATGCGTTACATTACAGTCATAGCAATATGGCCCAGTATTGGATAAGCCATGGACTGTACTTTATTTCAGATTTGCTTTTGTATTCTACAGCAGCACCAAATTCTTTAGGTAATAAAAGTTGCAAGTTTATAGATTGATTTGTTTGTGTAGCACATCCTACAGATGCATTATTATTGTTAATATTAAATATATTTGATCATGGTGTAGGGCCAGGGCAGCCGACTTGGGACCCGAAGGTCCTGGGCTCGGTCATTGCACATCTCGTGGTGTCTCTGAACAGGACACCCAATCCCTAATTGTTCCCCGGGTGCTTGCATAGCTGCCCACTGCTCCACCTGGGTGTATCCCAGGTGAGATGGGTTAAATGCAGAGTGCCAATTTCATCTTTGTATGGGAACATACAATGATGACAACACGTAGCACTTTATTTACTTATTATTACTACCTTTCTGGATTGTGGGACTAGCTGGTGCCCGTATCCAGCAGTCACTGTGTGAGAGACGGGGCACACCCTGGACTGGTCCATCACAGGGACACATGGAGACAAATTGTTTACACTCAGCCAAACCTAGAGACACGTTACCATTTAACCTAAGCATGCATGTTTTTGGTCTTTGAGAGGAAACTGGAGTACCCTGAGAAAACCCTTGCACACACAAGGTGGAGAATAATAATATTAAAAGAATTTGGAGTTGACACCTAAGTGCTTTTTATTTGTTAACTCGTTTTAAATCAATTTTGGAGTGTTACAGGGTACACCATGATATTTTCAAAATGTTCAGTAACACGTGGTCTCTACATAGGGGCTTGGAAACAGTTTTGGCATTTCGAACACCACCTGAACGCATCATGCTTCATAATTATGTGCCAAATATTCACATTCAGATACGTCGTAAATAAACTCCCAACAGAATACCTAGGAATACAAACCATAATGTCTGGTGATGGAAGATGCATGTTGTTGGTTTTGGTTAAGATAATGTAATTTGCATCATTTGTCTTTACAACACTGGCACAAGTTTTATTTGTATGTATCGGCTAACACTTTTTTTTTTTTTTTTTTACATAAAAATGGTCTAGAATTAACAATAGAAGAATCATATAGTGAAGTTATAAACTATCATTTACTAAATACTTCTGTTCAGAACAACTTGTTTTAAAATTGTAGTACAAACAATCTGCATGACATAACGTTTGAAATGCAGCTTGCTTTACATTATGAATTATAACAGATTTTTAAAATGTTTCATATTTAGGTTTAAATGTTTAATATATAAGATTATACACACTTTCTCCTCATTTCTCTGCCCCACAGTTCAGACAAAAGTGATAAACTACAGTGTACTAGAAGGTTCTTGCTATTAGCTCTGGTCAGGATAGCTGCGTACGCAGTGTGTAACGTCAGCAAGTACCCAGATCTCAGGCAAGCAGAACTTCAAATAAAATACGATTAGTTCTGTAATCTTAGTTTGAACTGATAATAAAAAAAGCCAAAAGGTGGCGTCAAAGAAGCATTTTAGCAATGACAGCTGACAAGCCTCAAATGGTTCATGCACTTTCTAAAGCCGATTACTCGGGGAGGGAAATGTAATTGTTGGATTTGGCTCTGTGGTCGAGTTGGCTTTGATTGGACAAATGTAAACAGGAACATGTTTAATATGACATAATGTATTAAAAATATAAAAAAATACCTCCATCATCCTGGTATTCTCTACCTGGAGTAGTGTGAATGCAGTCTAAAAGTGGTTTATGTCAAAAACATTGGTGTAAACTTCCTTTTTCCAAGTAAATAAATGATTGTGTAATAAGAGAACTTAAAACTCCTCAAATTTGTAAGAACATTTTCACTTTTCGGGACTTTTTGTGTTTCCCACAATACTCGTCACGTCATCCCTGACCAGCAGCATTACAGACATTTTCACTGAGTCTGATGAAAATCACAATAAATAGATTGGCCTGCTGCGTCTGCTCAGGCCACAATGTATTATGGTCTATTTCCAGCAATGTAGTGTCCAACTCTTGTACATTACTTTTCCTGAACCAGTTTCAAGACAGTGGATGAAAGTGTCAGTTAAAATGTAGACGTATATAAAAAAGGCTGTTTTTGTGCAGTGGAGTGGACAATTTGAAAACAACTCCCTGTCACCAGTACATGTTTTTGTGAAGAAGTGTACTTTTTGGCAATAATTTATTATTATTCTATTGGAGGTGAGTGTCAAAATGACTGAAGTTTCCTGGCAACATTGACCAATGAACCACATTGTTTGTTTTTATTTAAAAAATATTTAAACTTATACTTAAAATGTTTAGTTCCTGATTTGTGCTGAAGGATCCAGTGCTTCATTGACCCCGTGCTGGTGCTCCTCAGCGTTTAGCAACTCCTGCAGGACAAGACAGAAAAAATATTTCAATCTAAGGTAGCCGACTGCACTGGGGGGAGCAATAAGGAGTTTCGTGTGTGTTGCAGGGGGGATGTGTCCGTTCCGTCACATTAGCGGAGAGAAGACGGTGGTGTGTAAACACTGGCTCCGAGGACTGTGTAAGAAGGGCGACCAGTGCGAGTTCCTCCACGAGTACGACATGACCAAGATGCCCGAGTGCTACTTCTACTCAAAGTTCGGTTGGTTGACTTGAGTTTACACACTAACGAGCTCTCTGTTTGTAAACCGTCAGCCAGTTGTCTGCAAGGCTGTGAGTTTTTCGTTTGTGTGCTGATCCTCAGGCGAGTGCAGCAACAAGGAATGTCCCTTCCTGCACATCGATCCAGATTCTAAGATCAAAGATTGTCCGTGGTACGACCGAGGTTTCTGTAAACATGGTGAGGTCCAGCTCAAATATTTTGTGCTCCTTCTGTTCTGTCTTACATGTGATTAGATCTCTGTACTACCTGTATGAAACGTCTCCAACGCTGCACCGTTCTGCTCGTTTCAGGCCCTGACTGCCGACACAGACACACGAGAAGAGTGATCTGTGTGAACTACCTGGTGGGCTTCTGTCCCGAGGGAAAATCCTGTAAATTTATGCAGTAAGTCTTTTTGTTTTTCTTTATTTCTACATAAAATAGTTAGTTTTGCATCTAGATACTGGCTTAATTTAGTCAAACTGTTGAGTTGGAGCAGCATAAAACAAGTAGGAGATCTGAGTTGTATGGATTTAACGGTGAGGTGCTCTTCCACAGCCCCCGGTTTGAGTTGCCGATGGGAACCTCTGAACAGCCTTCTCTGCCGCAACAAGCCCTAAATCAGACAAAGACGGTAATGCACGCACAAAAATACAATCCACACTGGGTTTGGGAAGCAACACGAGGATGTTCAGAAAGACCAATCCTTGAAAGACTGTTGAGAAGTTGATCCTGATTGGGTGTGGAGAAGTCAAAACTAGAGTTGTGTTTAGAGCGCACTCCACATCTGCGGTGCAGCTGTATCATCGTCAAATTCATCTCTGTGTTGACGGCATGGCTCGTTCACTCCAGTGCCATTGTTTGTTATAGCCAGCTGAAATAACTTTGAGCCTTTAATGACACAACCCTTATAAATTACATCAGCTAAATAAATTGAAACACTTTGCTGCGTTTAATACCTTCGCAGCTGAACTTAGAACCAAAAGCAAGAATGTTAGGCAGTTAATTTGATAAAAGATCAATGGATCAGACGGCATCTGCAGCCAGTTTCTTAGGATCCACTGTGGGATGGACCTTTACAAGAGATCCTTCCTGTTTACAGCCATCAGTGTCTATAACATCTCTTAATGAAATGAGGATAATGAGTTACAACAACAAATAATTTCCCTCTGGGATTAATAAAGTATTTTTGAATTGAAAAACATGATTCAGCTGCAAAGTTTAGAAGAGACATTTTGTTTTGGTTACGTCGCTTTAACTTATAAATAAATGTTTTATTTTAGCTTTTGTTTAAATCAGTGGTTCCCAACCATGGTCCTTGAGGAACACCATCCTGCATGTTTTAGTTGTTTCCCTGCTCCAACACACCTGATTTGAATAAATGGGTGATTAACAGGCTTCTGCAGAACTGGAAGTAATTAAATCACTGAATCAGTGTTGGAGCAGGAAACAACTGAAACATGCAGGATGGCGTTCCTCAAGGACCAGGGTTGGGAACCGCTGGTTTAAATGACTTTCTTAGACGACAAAATGCTGCGTCTTTGAGTGATTTACAATGTTAAAATGTCTTAACGTTTACATAAATAATACTTCAGAAGTAGAAATGTTTAAAAGGTTTGAGTCTGAATCAGGAAGTTTAACCTGATTTGATGTTTTGATGTCTGGTGGTGCTGAAATATTTCCTTTTGTGGATTCTGTCGTTTCACCTTTGACTCGTCAGGTCTTGTTTATTTCCTGCTTTGTTGCTGATGAGTGAAAACAGCCTCTGCTTGTTTCCTGCTGTAGCCCGTGCCCACCCTCAACCGCACGTCACACTCCCTCATTCAGCTGACCAACTGCAGTCCGAGCCAGCGGCCGCAGAACAACCTGTACACCGCCCTCCAGAAGAACAACTTCATGCCTATGAACAGGGGGCCTCGACCTCTGGACCAGGTCACTTGCTACAAGGTGGGTCGTCTCCACAGCCGTTTCTGCATCGCTCAGATTACTGCTGTGTGAAATATTAGTGGCAATGGAAAAATGTCTTATTTTTATAGCAGCGTCAAACACTTGGTCACGTTTCCTCTTTCAGCACTAATTTATAATAATTCTGTCCTCAGTGTGGTGAGATGGGCCATTATGCCAACAAGTGCACAAAAGGTCATCTCGCCTTCCTGAGCGGACAGTAACCTTCAAACTCGAGGTCCGAACATCACATCACTGCAGCTCGAGCAGACAGGAGACCTACACGCAAAATGAGCTTTGGTATTAAAACTCAGACTTTAAACGTTCCTGCCCAACGTGTTTGTGTGTATTCAGCCTCAGAGACACGGGCAGAGAAACTAAAAGAACAGTCTCCACGTGCTGCCTCCTCTAAACTGGATATGTGAAAATGACAGAAGATGGAAGAGCTGATGGTCCAGTTTGGGTCCAGCATCTCAGGTTGTGTGGCTGCATTAAAGTTCTGCTGTTCTGTAATTTTCTTTGTAAAATACCGTCTTGTTGTAGGACCGTACACTTTAGGCAGTTTGTACTCGATTACTCCCCTCCAGGAAATGACGCCCATCTCAACGGCAGATTTAAACCGGCTCTTTTGGAGCCTGCGTGTTCTTTCTGGAGTTCTACCAATAAATGACAGATTTACATGCCATACCTCTTAATTTTTCACATTTTTTTCACTTCAACTTTCACATGTGTGCACTGCTCATTAAAAAGTCAAATTTTTTACATGAGTTTTGTTTATTGGTCACATGAACACAGAGCTGAGAATAGAAAGAGCAATGGTGAGCTGAGAGATCCTCCCCTGATGGCTGCTGCAGGGACTTAATGGTACTTCCTCCAGCGATCATGTTCTGTAAGAAGACGGGACAACAGAATGTTTAAAATGTAAACACTAAACACAAAGTAATAAAAACCGTAAACTCTTACTGATGTGGTCGTATTGCCACAAGTAGCTTATGGCCATGTAGCCAACGATCAGAATAGCCATGCCACTGATGCCTCCTTTCTTCACGTCGATGTACTTGGTGTGGTATCTGTTACAGCCTGGAGGAGACAAATGAATATAGTTTAGCATTCTGGAAATATAGTACGACTTGACTTGACTGAACTCTGAGAAGCTAAACTGATGCTGTGTGTTGTAGACAATCTAATAAATCTGAAATTAATGGGCTGCGCACATGAAAACTTTTCAGACTGAAAACTAATCAGGAGTTACCAGCCTTGCGTTTGTGTAATCACCAAAATCTTGTTTTGAAAAGAACGTCTTCACACTTTAATTTGACCTATGACCCAGAAGCACATCAGGCATTAAACAGATTTTATGCTGCAGAACCTAACAGTCCCCCGGGCGGCTACAGTAAAACTTTTGTATACTGCATTACTGGTACTTCATCTAGCAAACATGGCTGATGAACATCAAACTGGACTGGAGACACCTTTGGATTTGGCGTTTACCGTTTGTACCTAGCGTGGAAACTTTAACTTTACAAGACATTTTCTGTTTCTTTGTAATGGTAAAAAAAAAAAAATACATGGAAGTGCTTCTGTGTGGACAAGGCCTAAGGGTTCAACCTAAAACATTGTGATCAGACATCGCTGTAAAAAAATGTTCAGGTCCAGCGTCTCACCGCGGCGGCAGGCGCCCAGTAAGCCGTTTGGGGTCAAGTCTCGACCTCCGAACCAGGATCCCAGCTCACCCAGCTTCACATCCATCAGGCGCTTCTCAACGACGGGAACTGAGCACAAATTAAAGACACTACAAGTTACAACAGTGTTAGCTGGCTAAAACAGCTGAACTTTACAGTTTAGGACACTTTCTAGGATTTCAGCTCTTTTGGTGTCCCCCTCAGTTCAAACAGAACTTGGAGGAAATTAAAAAAAAAAAAACTTTCTATTCTCCATCTTCCTGAACTGCAGCAAGAACAGGTGTCCAGTTTGATCCATATTTTAAACATTTCAAAATAAATTGGGGACAATTTTTCAGACTTATTTTAAGTTTTGTATAAACTCTGTTCCCATTTAAATGTCAAGATAGTTTATATTTTATTATTATTTCTGTATTTCGACACTAATGTGTTTGTCATACTGTCTAAACAAACGTAAATATAATAAATTAACAATATAAATGTTAGCATGCCACAACCCATAGATCATTATGAAAGCAAAGCTATGAAAAGCTTGCAAAACAAAAATCTTTATTTCGTGGGTCGATACATTCGAGTTTTAAAATTAGCATCATTAGCCTCCTTGTGTGGCTAACGCGCTATTAAAATTAAGTTTAAATACTTGGAAATGAGGTAACACCACAATAAAGATGAATTAACGTCAAAACAGTATTTTCTGGTCGCTCCTGCAGCAGCTAGCTGATAATATTTAATGTGACTCAGAAAGTCCTTGACGTGTGGAGGACCGCGGCCTTCAGTCACAAACACACCGAGGACGGACACTGACTCACGGCAGCACCGCCACGAGGAAACACAGACTAACTCTCAAACACTCATTTACAAAAATAAAGCGCATAAAAAAGACTACAGCTTAGATTTGTCACAGCAGAGGACGCGCTTTACCTGGTCTATCCGCCATCTTGACCGGTGCAGAAGATAGTGCAGCAAGGAATGCTGGGAATAAAAAGGAACGAGTGCATTATGGGAGGGCCTGTAGTTTCTCAGTGTTTCCACAAGGTGGCGCCAGAAACGATTATAAGTCCACGGGTTTGATAAATGGGAATGAAAACAAAAAGGAATATTTATTAAATATTTATTTATTTATTTTATATTTATAAATTTATTTATTTTGTCTTGAACTTTTTTGAGTATTCATTTAAAGAATTAAAAAGTCTTGTCTTGGTGTAAAATATACATTTTGTCCGTCACATTTCATAACAAAGCATGATAGATGTTAATGTAATGCCTTAAATGTATTTTTACACATCAAGTTACACCTGTGACCTTAAAGGTAAATTTACTCAATTTTTAACTTATTAATTATTAGGGAGGGTGGAGAAGGGCACCTACCTTTGTTCCTCCCAATACTGTGAGGTGGCATCTTCCTCTTGTAAACATCTACTTACACACATACACTAAAACCTCCAAATTAAACAAACAATAATATGTTTTATGTAGTTTTATGCTACTAAAGTGATAGTTCAGATTTTTGGAAGAGGTCTTTGCAGTGAGCCAGGCGGCACGGTGGCGCAGTTGGTAGAGCTGTTGTCTCTCAGCGAGAAGGTTGCCGTATCAAATCCCGGCTGAGGGCTTTTCTGGGTGGAGTTTGCATGTTCTCTCCGTGCATGCGTGGGTTTTCTCCGGGTACTCCAGTTTCCTCTCACTCTCCAAAAACATACATGTTAAGCCTAACATGGTAACTCTAAATTGTCCCTAGATGTGAGTGATGGTTGTTTGCCTTGTTTGTCTCTATGTGGCCCTTTAAAGGACTTGCAACCTGTCCAGGGTGTCCCCCACCTCTCACACAGTGATAGCTGGATGTGGGCACCAGTGACCCTCATGACCCAAAAAGGAAGAAGCGGTGAATATAAAGTTTGTATGTATATGTTTTCAGAGAGGTTATGAACAGTTACTATCTTACCTGTTGTAGACAGGAAGCTCTTTGAAAGACTGAGTTTGTTTTTGACCAGAGTGGTGGGCTAAGGTTTAGTCTGAGTGGGGCTAAAACCAGTCACGTCTCACGTGGACAGGTAGTCAGCCAATAGCGCGCTTAACAAACACTTCAAGACACGCCCACAACAGACAGGAACAAGCTTGTACATTTTGTTAGCAGACTTAAAGTTGGCTTGACCTAATATAGCAGAAACTAATTCTGCCAAAGGTTTCCAAATATATATTAAAAACGCTAATCCACTAAACGAAAAATTAGTTCCGCTATTAGCTGTTAGTGAAACTGTGTCCACCACTGTTGGCATCTTGCACTGCCCAAATGCATTGTGGGAATCTCTGCCATGTAACGGTGCAAAGGAACTGTAAACACGACAAGTTTGTTTTATATAGGCTCTAAAAATGCATCAGCTGGAAGGCCAGAGATGTAGACAGCTGAAATTGCTGTGATTATTTTTTGTTAAGCTGGAATATTTAAATAAACAGGATTATTATTACTCGGTTACACTCGTGCTTGTACCATCTGATCTGGGATCATTTTGTTAACATCCTCCCCTGTGTACATCATGGGAGGAATAATTTGACCACTTCTTGATCTTAAAATAAATTAAAGCTTTTTTTTTTAAATATATATAATGGCTCACGTGAACGTTTTAAAAAATATATAATATAAAAACTAAACAGTTTATTTTACATGGTGAATGTATATTTTACATCTAACCAAACTGTTGTAACTTACGAGTCATGCACTGAGAAATTGAGATTATAATAACAGGACGAGTATTAGTTTAATAAATATGTAATATAACATTATTTCTTAGGGATAAATACTTTATGCCTTTGGTGTGTTTTACCAGAGGGGCAACATCTTGTCACTAAAATCACAAGAAAACTTGCAGAAAACAGCTCCATTGAAACAAACAGAACCGTTTCTTTATCGTCACCTTCATTTAACGTGACAAAGTCGGGCTAAACTTCAGTTACTCTGAACTGAGGCCACAGCTGATCAATAACATAGTTCAGCTGGATGACGATGATCTTCAAGTGTCTGATTTGGGCCGGTCCACAGTCCAGCTCACCCCTCGAGAGCTGGGACTTTCTCAAACGCTCTCACTGATGCAAACTAACAGAGACAGAGCGACACACTGAGCAACCCGCAGAAACTGTGAGAAAATGTTCCTGTTAAAGGTCCAGAGAGACTCTGGCACATAATCTCATTTAGAGCTCAGAGTCCGAGCAGGAGAGAGCCGGCAGCCCAGGCTCACCTGCGTTTTTATTAGTTTATTTAGCTGCCAGGAAGCTTACAGGGACAAACACACACAGAGGCAAGAGCACAAAGCATGATTTCATTCCACCTCAGGAGGCAGGTGCCCTCCAGGTCCACTGCAGACGACTCTTTGAAGCTGATGGGGGAGGCAGAACAAGACATGGATGGAGCTGTGTGTGTGTGTGGAGGTGAAGAGCGAGAGGAAGATGGGAGAGAGGAGTGAGAGTAGAGCCGGCAGCAGAAAAGGGAGAGGTGGAGGCAGATTAGAGAGAAAATGGGAGGAAGGAGGAGCAGCACAGCAGACTCATGACCTTTGAAGAGCCAGTCGCTCCCTGTTCGTCCATCCTTCACGAGGAACGTCTTCTTTTTTTTGTTACATTTTGTTTCACAGACTTCTGTGTTAGCATTTACTTTAATTATTTCCCCTGACAGGAGATTTGTCCTTCCCTTTTTGCACAACTTCACATCTTTTCTTCTTCTCTGCAGCTTCTCGTCATTTCCACTCACACATTTTTCTGATCTCATCTGTGCTCTCTAGTTTTGTGCACTTTGTTTTGCGGAATGTGAAATTTTGAACAAACAGAGCAGACAGGAGCGCTGGTTTGTGAGCGAGATGATTTTATGATCTTGTCATGGACACGTCTATCAGCAGGAGCGATTCAGGAGCTCAGCGGACTGATGAGGTCCCAGAGGAATCCTTGAGTGTTTAATAGATGGATAGAAGGTGACAGGAGGACACGATGTATAGGAACACTTTACATTTTATGACTTTAATGGTTTAAATCTCTTAATCAAACTTTTCCATTTAATCTTACTCAAACACTTAAATGTAATGGGCGCTAATGGCGTGCTGACGGTGCAGAATATAAATACGGCAGCATCACTTATCAAACTTGACTCTGTGGATAAGGTGCCCTCTAAACATCTAGTGTACATGAACCAGAATAAATGCTTGAATCAGGCTGAAGAATGATGTATGTAACAAAGTCCATGCTCAATAATCCAGGTATACAATCCAACATTTTTCAGTCAGGTCATCTGAACAGTTTCTTTTTTTGTGCTGAAACGTTTCACCTTCGATCCAGAGGGCTTCATCAGTCAAGGAAACACACAACAAAACTGATTCTTCCCCCAACAGCTTACTCCAAAGTGGAACAAACCAGTTATGTTGGTGCTAAGACAGCTTGACACAACTGTCAACAAGGAAGAGGGCCGGCAATGGAGGAAGGGGCGTGCCAAAGACACCATCTTAGCACCAACATAACTGGTTTGTTCTATTTTGAAGTAAGCTGTTGGGGGAAGAATCAGTTTTGTTGTGTGTTTCCTTGACTGATGAAGCCTTCTGGATCGAAGGTGAAACGTTTCAGCACAAAAAAAGAAACTGTCCAGATGACCTGACTGAAAAATGTTGGAAACTTTGACTTATCTACATCTGACTCCCCAGTTCGGCTTCGAAGCAGGCCGACTTATCAAATTTCTCCTGGGATGTGTATAAACTAAAGAAAACGTCTGTCTATCGCACCCCTCCCCCCCAGAAAACTTCTGCGAATGCTTATCAGAACTGTACTGGCTGATCTTCTTAGAACTATGGTGCTATCTGGAAGTGCTTCATGGACAAATCTTACCGTCTTTTCATCAAATGCATATGTAATGTGTCTATAAATGTGCTTGTTGGTAGTTTTTGATGTCTTGAATCATGTCCTGATAAGGACAAGATGTGAAGAGATCTTTTTTGTAATATGACTATCCTCTCCTCAAGGCCTTTTCTCCTTTTCTATTTCTATATGTTTTGGAACTGATTTTTTATTTAAAACAACATGAGTTGAGAAAAACACCAAAGTAAGGTGGCACATCTAAGCAACATTTCCTCTCTTTTTCCCATCCTCCCAGGTAGACCAAGCAATGTGTTAACGGTTATGAGCAATGATTATCTTACCTGTTGTAGACACATCTTTGAACAGCCTTAGTTTAAATGTCTAGTTTTGATTGTATTGACAAGTTGACGTCTAGTTGGAGCAGGGCCAAGACCAAAGTTTGATAAATATTCTGGCAACATTTGATCCGACTCTGGTCTAAAAAATTACAGACATTCGCAAGAACTCCATTTGAAAACCTTTACACCACCATGGTGCTAATAGCGGCAGCTAGCTGTAGCATTTTCTGCAGAAATCTTTCGAATTTTCTACCAGAATCATGCATGTTAGGTTAATTAATAACGCTAAATTGTCCCTAGGTGTGAGTGAGAGCGTGAATGACTGTTTGTCTCATTTGTCTCCATGTGTCCCTGTGATGGACTGGGGACCTGTCCAGGGTGTCCCCTGCCTTTCGCACAGCGACTGCTGGTGGACCAGTGACCCCGCGACCCGAAAAAGAAGAAGCGGGTAAAGAAAATGACACAGTTTGTCTGTCTGTGTTATAAAAAATGTTTGCAAGAACTATTATATATTTATTACTGTGATGATGTTTTTAGATGACAGAAATTCACTTTAGTCTAACCCAGTTTGGAATAGCCACTAGCTCCTCAACCCAGTCAGAATTTAACTCTTTTTCTCCAAGATGAGGTCACTTAAAAAGCCATTTAAAATAAACAGCATATTACATGTAATTGGTTATCACCTTTTCACAGAACTTCTTCAGAAAATGTTGTTGCTGTTCTCTAACTCTTTTACTTCCCTGTCAAGGTTTGTAGAGGATGTGAGTCCAAGACCGACACAAGGAGCTTGAATAAACTTA